ACATTGCTAGGCGGCCAATGTTCTTCACTCCAAACCTTTCCACCATGTAAAGTTAATATACAACTAACGAGTTCCTTTGGTTCAACCGATAGAAACATTACGGCATACAAGTGCTCCATGCCCATTAAGTGGTGTTGTCATTCAAGGAGTCATGTGACAATCTAAGTTGCAACCCAGCTACAGTTTTCTCCACGAGTGGAGGTGAAAACGATTTCTGAGGCATATTACAGACACACACGTAAAATGTGTCATTGGCTATAATTATGTACAATGACTAGGCACAATCTCAACACTGGCTTATGGGTACATACATAGTACTGACTGTATATACCTGCTACAGTGGTGCTAGCTGAGGCAGAAGATGGCTTGTTATTAGCCACAGTACATGTGTACACTCCTGCAGTAGTCACAGTCAGAGTGTGGGTGTACTGTGCAGTCACTGGGTCATTCAACACAGTCTGGGTTCCTTGGGTGACAGTGGTGGAGTCTCTGGTCCAAGTGACAGTGGTAGCAGGTCCACCAGTGGAGATACAGGTGAGGGTCAGCTGGCTAGGGTCAAATGTCAATCCTCCAGATACAGATATTGAAACACTTCCTGAGCAAAGTGCAGAATCACAAGTGGCACAGTAGTACAAAACCCCTAATGCTTATCATCCCATGTTCTGCATGAATACAATACTAGACTTATTGCACTATAGCCTTCTTTCTGCGAATTCCAGAATGCAAGCAGGGTTCTCTAAGATGCTTTTGTGTATGTACCGTATATTTGTCTTGAAAATACCATATGATATGTGGCAAAGCAGTGCCAGTGCTGGCCTAGTGTTGAAGGCATATTAAATTGCGCTGCGAAGGTGAAACATAATGTATTATTTAAGACTGAATATTTGTTGTTTGCTCTCATTGTTGTGCATTACTGTATCACCAGGCGTTGATAGGGATTGTGTCATAGACTTGGACCTCACACCTAATCCCGTCTTTGTCTCCATTACTTCATCTACTATTTGTTGGGTTCACACCCAATGAAAGTTACAAAAAATGCTACAATTCGTGGCACTGGCGGTATAGCATATCCCTCTATATTGAACCACAAAAATTGTTTTTTCCGCTGTTAACTAATAAAACCTCATTCTCATACCTCCACTGGCAGTATACAGTCCCACATAGACTGTGTCTCTCACTGAGATGTCAGTATTATCATGGACAGCACCAGTTGGAATATCACAGCGATAGATGCCAGTTGGTGAGTTAGCATTAGTGTTACGACGTAAGTCAACTCTCTGAGCTACACGAGTCTCATAGGTATCAATATTAGGTGCAGCAAAAGGCAGTCTAGTTCCATTAGGGAAATACCAGTCTGCACGATGAGCACCCTGATCCCTAGTACAACATGTGGTCAGGTCAGTGATACACTGAACACCTTCACCATCACGAATGTCAGGTCTCCCCACTTGACTGACATCCACATAGGAATGGTTGGCCAGAGTCTGGCTCATGAAGGAGAGACGGGGAAAGCTCTGAGAGTGGACCTCCACCAGAGACCAGAGGAGAAGAGTCAGTAACAACGACATCACCACCTACACAACATGACATTAACATAATGTTTAGGAGACAAGAACACATGGCTGGCAAAGTCTATTGCAGCCCCTGTTATTAGGTGTTACTGGTGTAGCAAACTTGCTGAGATCAATCTGATCTGAATAGGCCTGCAGTGCTATCTGTCCAAAGCATAACCATCAGCGCGCATGTACAGCGAGGGTTACAGTACTTGGTCTGTCAGTCTGTCTGTCCATCTTTTACCACGTTTTCTGCAACCACGTGCAGAAATCCGGCTAAGAAGCGACACCAACGGGCTCAGCTTGCTTCATTTTAAAAATGATGATTTTCGTAAAAATACTGCATTCAAAAGTCAGGGGGGGTAGGACAAGATTACGTGTGAGAAATATTTGCTGAATCAGCACTCCCGAATGTATGGGCTTTCTCGTTCAAGCAGTCTTCAGACTTCCCTCTCTCTTTAGTAAACCATATCACTTACTATGCATACAACGCTTATGAGCATTGGCATGTATGGAACGTGCGTTTTTGTCATGTGGTTCTTACGTAACTACGCAAGCTTGTCCTACCCCCCCTGTTCGAAAGTTATGCCGTGAAAACCAAGTGAACAAGCCAATTGCTAATTAGAACAGGCTATTCATCAAGAGACTGCTCCAATTAGGGCGCTTCATCCGTTTGTCGAGAGGTTCGCCGATTTTTTTCGCTTCTGGTTACACCGCTGCGCATGTGCAAGATGCACATGTTGTGTCCGATTGTCTGATGGAGGTTCAAGAGAACTGCTCTTGAAAAAACTGACCTCAATAAATAAGACCTACCTCATAATGAAATAGACCAACCTCACGATAAACGTAGCGACTGCACATAATCCAAAACATAAGTGTACTATTTTTGACACTGATAACACACCACAGGTAATGGGAAATTAATGAGTATAATTATACAGTAGGGTCTGGGAATCTCAAATGATTTTGATATTGGTGTATACTGCCAGTCCCGGTTAATCTTGCAGTAGAGCATGCATGATACAGAGTATATACTATGGCAGACGAACGTGCATAGAAGGTCTAATCATGAAACACTGCTGATCCACATTTTCACGATTCTGACTCAGTCATCCATCTGATCTTATACATACACCACACACACAAACGAGCACTACAGAAAATCTCGTACTAAAACAAGCGGATACCCAACAAGCCAATAGTACATGGGCGTCATGCCACGGATTGTCTCTCGTCACTGCTAACAGATTCCCTGCTCACCTTCCCTGTCACTGCTAGCTATAGTCTGCCTGGTCCGCTGCACTGGTCCTGCCTGGTCCGCTGCACTGGACAAAGGCTTCGCGGCACTCCAGTTCTCAGTAGAGGGTAGCGAGGGTTTCTTCACTGCTTCCCGCTAGGTTCGCTCGTGTACTCCACTTCCTGCTACCGTGCGGAAATGGGACAACGCATTTTTGGGCGTATGCCATACTGTTGACTCAGGAAATTTTGAAGAACAGCCCTAGTTTCTTCATTTGAGGTGTTAACTGAATAAACCTTGAATTTGACATAGAAATCGATACGTGAGAGAGTGAGGCTACGCTTGATAGTGTAGCACTATCACGCAGAAACAGTGAGTTTTCAAAAGTACAATAAAGTGACATTTCAAGCATAAAGGAAAGTAGGTTATAAGAGTGAAAATACATGCAAAAAGTCAGGTTAATTCAGTAGTAGCATACAAAATTAAAAATAAAACAGAAAAAAAGATACAAGCTAATAGTCTACTGTACAATTTCACATTCTTCATTGTCTGTATAATTATAGTCTCAAACAACGTCCTTGAAATTGGCATAGTTGTCATAACTGTTGACAAAATCAGCCAAAACCTCGTGGCAGTAGGCATACTGATCCTGTGGGGAGAGGGCAACAGATGGCGACTGTTATGATAGAGGATCGATACAGAGAGAGAAATGTTAGGGCTACAGTTATTTTGTGGGTGTAGAAACACTGGCTTAGCATAATGGTATATATGGAGCTTTTTTTATCAATACTGTATCAAAGAGAGAGGATAAAAGGATAAAGGGAGAGGGAAAGGGAGCAAAGACGAAGAGGTAGGGAGGAACATACAGCGTCAGGGACGAGGCCAGCTCTCTGGATACGGGCAGACTTGACAGCCTGGAAGAAGTCGACCACACCTTCGGTCTTGAGTCTCTCCAACTGAGAATGGAGACAGATGAACGTTCCCGTCCTTCCCACTCCGTCACTGAGGAGGTGAGGAGACACAGTTTAGCAGTTGGCTGGCAATAGAATGTGTTTTGGGTGGGCTTTTGTTTATTGTGCAGCTAGACAAAGAATCCCACAACAGATACAGATGTGTTTGTCGGCCACTGAAGAGGTATAAAACAGAGACCAGAGGGTGCACTGACTTGCAGAGGATGGTGATGGCTCTGTTCCCAGTGTTCATCTGGGCCTTGGTGATCATGTCCAACATCTCCACCACGGCTCCCGTGGAGACTGGTCTCCCGTGCTCTGGCCAGTCCGGGAGCTGGAACTGAGTCACCACCACTCCTTCACCGGGACCCATCTGCACTGCCTGCCACACATACACACACACACACACACACTCGGTAACAGCAAGTCTCAATACAGTAGGTGAAACCTCCCAAAAAGACCCTCCAAATGAAGCACACCTCTCTATAAAGGAGACTTGGTTCTGCCCCACACTATATGCTCCTCTAAACAAGAAACACTTCTGAATTACGACACTTTCAATATCCTCAAGTTTTCCTTTATTCAGAGAATTTCACCACAGAGAGGGAGAGACCTACCTTGTCATCCTGGATCAGCATCTTCCTCTGAATGAAGCTGTCGTACGACGTCTCAGTCTGGAGTGTGACTGTGATCTTGCCATATTTGGCAGTGCTACCTTCGTCGTAAGGCCAGAAGGGATGACAGGCCTCGTGGCCGTCTTCACTCAGACTGCACAGCATCACCATCACTTTACTCTTGAACTCCCACATGAGTCTCCAGAAGTCTCCCACCGTGTTCAGGAGCGGACCTTGAGTGGCAATATAGGCATTCCTCTTCTTGTAGCCCTGCAGTAGAGAACACCACTCATACACTCTATTCACACACTCCACAGGTATTATAGAGGTAGGGGAGAGAGAGGTTTGTATGGTGCTAAGAGGTTGAGGTCTTACATCAAGGAAGCTGGCATTGATGTATTCTGATCCATCTTCTCCAGTTGGCCTCAGGCGAGCTCGAGACAGGTTGTCTGCAGAGACAGAAGTTGTCATTACACAGGGAGGGAGAGGGAGAGAGAGGGTGACTAACAAGGTAGGCGGTCGGCGTAGCGGTTCTTGGAGCGGTTGTAGTGCTCACGAGCTTCACTGCAGTCGTCTTCCTCGGGCTTACGGCTCACCTGATCCAGCAGCTGTGGTCATGTGACAGGAAGTGATGTCATCGGTACGCAGTGTGGGGGGATTAACGCAGTGTATATACAACCATGGTACGAAAGAGAGATGGAAAACATGAGATTGCACAACTCTACATTAGGGCCAGTAGCCACAGGAACATGAAACCCACGCCCACTCAATGCATTCCTAAACCCAAATGCAGTCTGCCTACCCTGTCAGCTATAGGGACACATATTAGGAACAGGTAGTGCCCACAAAAGAGTAAAATCAACACTATATTTGGTGGTTTGCCTGGCTTGCAACCCCCCACTGCCTCCTGGTGTATATACATGTGAGTGTATCATCTTCCCATATTGAGAACTGCCTTACTCAGAGCATTACCACAAGTTATGTAATAATCACATACATGCAGCAGTCTTACAATGTTGAATGAAATTTTGCTAGTATCACATTACCTGCAGTGGTTTGAAGAACATTTTGCCCTATCTATGGTATTACCTGGAATTGCTCCTGGAACCCAGTGACCCCCTTGCCAGGAATGACCTTGGAGAGCCTCTGAATCTTGACCTTCAGAGCGGGAGCTGCAATGTCAGTCTCTCCACATGTGATGAGCTCACAGAGTGCATCGTGGATGAACACATACTGCGGCTGTTGGGAGAGAGAGAGAGAGAGAGAGAGAGAGAGAGAAGAGAGAGAGAAGTAGATCGATATAGATAGCGATATAGACGAGATCGCTACTTCTATCTCTATATCTTCTCTCTCTATCTCTCTCTCTCTCGCACGATCTTTCTCTACGCTCCTCTCTCGCTCGTCTCTCCTCTCGCGCTCTTCTCTCTCCTCTCTCTCTCTCGCTCTCTCTCTGCCTCTCTCTCTCCTCGCTCTCTCTCTCTGCTCCTCTCTGCTCAGCTCTCTTCTGTTACCTTTACTTTTCCCCCACAAAATACACATTGTGTGTGTACCAAACACCAACCAAAGGGCATACTGTTTTTTTTAACAATAGCAGAGTTTACTAAGGGAAATGGTTTGGACAAACAACAAGTAATGAAGTAAGTGGTAGGCACATGTTGTTTATTCTAGAATGGAGTCTAGTCTAGTGTTGGAAAACTTTCAATTTAGACACACAGAGACATGTTGTCCAGATGCTCAATAACAGAGACTATGCAGGAGAAATAGAATGAAGATGTCCCAGTTGTATCAACAGACAGGCACTCTGTATGCATTTTTCAACAGGAAATAAAGAGGAGAGGAGGTGGAGGAGATGGGAACACACCAGAGTCTGAACCATCAGCACCCTCCTCCTGCGCAGACCCGTCAGGAACTCATACACGTTGACCGTCTTCTCAGCCTTGATCCTCTCCAACATGGAGTCCAGGAGCATGAAGGTCCCGGTCCGTCCCACCCCTGCACTGCAGTGGACCAGGAGAGGCACTCCGTCCTCCTTGTTGTGGGCCTTCTGGACCCTGCGGATGAAGGAGATGAGAGACGTGGCAAACTTGGGGACTCCGTGATCGGGCCAGGAGGTGAAGTGGTACTGAGTCAGTGCCAGAGGCTTCTCGTCAGGTGCTGTAGTCTGTGGACAGTGTGTGGTGTGGGTGTTGGTGCAGAGGTGTTTGAAGGAAATGAAAGTGAAGACAGAAAAAACAGTCAACAAACAGAGGTCAACAGTCTCTCTAGTAACCAAGCATACTGTTGGTAAGAGGTGCGCTCTACAAGGGACTCACGTTCTTGGCATTGAATGTTCTGATCTCAAAGTCAGCGAAAGGCATGGAGCTGGTGGTTGTGATCTCCATCTTCTTGTCCTGAGTCTCAAACACGTCTCCAATGTTGTCTGCCCAGTACTGCTCACACTTGCGCTGAGGGACAGAGGAGGAATGGGGAGGAAGAGGTATGATGCAAGCCAAATCCCATAATACTATTGGGGGATATACCAATAAGAACAGTGGTTGAGGGTTAAGAGGTATGGTCAGCCAAATTCCATTGCCCCATACATCACTATTAATCTCTAATACCACACTACACTAATGTGTTAATAAGGTATGCATCCACAATGGTTCCAGACACATGCTTTCCCACACTTTTGTCTCTATAGCAGTTGGAATGGAGTTAACAGCTAGCAGGCAGGGTTAAAACAACAGGTGGTCTTATGTAGTGTGAGACACAGAGCATGACTCACCCTCCCGGCCTCCAGACATTTGGTGAGTATTACAATGTGCTGGATCTTGTACTCCCAGATCATCCTCCAGAAGTCAGCTATGGTGTTGGGCATTGGACCTGGGGACACAGCAGAGACAGAGGGAAGATGGTTAATATAAGAGAGGAGGGGGAAGGGACCACTTTACCTTGAGCAGCAATGTAGACACTGGACCGGTTGTAGCCCTGAGAGAGGGAGAGAGGTGTAAGTTGGCCAGAGGAAGAGAGAGAATTAGAAACCCACGTCCATCCAACAGGCATTGATGTAGTCAGAGCCTTCCTCTCCAGGAATCTCTCCCAACTTGACACGAGACTCATCGTCTGATGAGAGAGAGAGAGGGAGGAACAATAACACCCACAGAGGAGGTAGTGTGTGGAGCTCTCACAGGGGAAGATGTTTGCAAAGCGATTCTTGACTCTGTTGTGTTGCCTCTTGGCCACCTCGTGTGAGGCCAGCGGCTTAGAGTTCCATCAGGGAAATACCAGTCTCCACGATGAGGACCATTAGTATTAGTACAACATGTGGTCAGGTCAGAATGACACTGAACACTGTCACTGAACACTGTCACCAACACCACTCCCAGCACCACTCTGAGGAGTAGTCCCCACTTCACTGAGGTCCACATAGGAATGGTTGGCCAGAGTCTGACTCATGAAGGAGAGACTGGGAAAGCTCTGAGAGTGGACCTCCACCAGAGACCAGAGGAGAAGAGTCAGTAACACTGGCACCGTTACCTACACAATGAAAAGCACTGAAGTGCAAACCCTCGGAGCATTGTGACGGGCACACGTGACTAAACGCACGCGCTGTATCACTAATCGATGGGCTGGGTTTAGTTTTAGCTGTTACTTGTGGTCTCTTGCCAGCTAGATAGCATGCGAGAGGCGATACACGCCCTGCGTTGCATCTTCTGGTGCCTCCGAGGTATATACGCAGAGCACGCGGATCGGTCAGGCGTATCTGCATATTGGCTTTTTCGCGCTCTAGCTTTGCAACGGAGCATTTTCAGAGAAAACTGCACATAATTTCTGACCTTCATTGCCCGTTGGGTCGTATCGTTTGTGAGACGAACAAACACTCGAGAAGTGAGATGTAGAGCAACAGACACACAGACACAGACCCAATGAAAAGCACTAAAGTGCAAACCCTCGGCGAACTGCGCATGCGCGGTACCGCTAATTGATGGGCTGGGCTTTTTATACTAGTATACGTTTACTCCTGCTAGTAAGCTCGCAGAGAGTCTGACACGGGCTAGCTACAGTAGTATAGATAGCATGTGAGAGTCGATACACGCCCTTCGTTGTGACTTCTTGTGCCTTCAAGATACACAGAGCAAGCGGTCGAGATAAGCCTGTTCTAATTAGAATATTGGCTTGTTCATTTTGGTTTTCACGCCATAACTTTTGACAGCAGTTGTTTTTACAAAAATCTCCACTTTTAAAATCAAGCAAGTGTAGCGCAGAACCCGGCGTTGGTGTCGCTTTTTGGCCGGTTTGATGCATGTGGTGGCAAAAAACATGGTAACAGACACACAGAGAGACAGACAGACACACAGACCAAGTACTGTAACCCTCGCTGCACATGCACGCCGAGGGTTAATAACAGGGCTTCTTGAATATCATGTGTGTATAAATCTGTGCTCCCAGTCGTTATGTTTAATGTGTTGTTAACCCTCGGCGCGCATGCGCAGCGAGGGTACTGTAGTTGGGTCTGTGTGTGTGTGTGTCTGTTACTCTACATCTCACCTCTCGAATGTCTGTTCGTCCCAGAAACGATTCCATCTACCCAACGGGCAATGAAGGTCAGAAAGTATGTGGGGTTTTCTCTGAAAATGCTCCGTTGCAGAGCTAGAGCGCTTCAGCATTGTACGGCTGATGCGTAGTCGGCTGTTTTTATCGCTGCGGAAAATGTGCATGCGCTTATATTTAGCACAGGCTTACCTCGACCGTGTCCGCTTGCTCAATGCTCTGTGTATCTTGAAGGCACAAGAAGTCACAACGAAGGGCGTGTATTGACTCCCGCATGCTCTCTACTACTGTAGCTAGCCTGTGTCAGGCTCTCCGCGAGCTACTAGCGGTGGTAAACGCATACTAATAGCCCAACCCATCAATTACTGGTACCGTGCATGAGCAGTTCGCTGAGGGTTTGCACTTTAGTTCTTTTTCATTTAGGCAGGCAGTGGTTTTATCAACCAAGAATTGATATTTTCCTTGAGTTTGAGGCTCACAGTTACTTGGGACAAGATCAGGTGATTGTCACATGATCAAACCAATTTGGGTGTACAACCATAACTTGCCAACATGCCCATCATTGAGGACTATATGTAATACCTCACACTACAAGGTGTGACCAAGTGCATTGCAAAACATGAAGAAACTAACGCCTACAACACAGATCACCATCTTAGCAGCCGACTAGCTTCATGCCCACACGCAGGGTCTCCCTGAGATAATTCATAGACGAGGTCTCCTCCGTAAGTAGCTATCCTCGACTACACATACACTGAGCTAGGTCTTGCAGGGCGAGCTACTCCTTCCCCAGCTACCCTCGCCCACCACCAGAGCAGACTGTGTGTGTACGTCCGTAGCAAAAGCAACAAACCTTGATCTGCACCATCATCAGCAACCTCCGCTGCTGCCGCTGTCCAGTCCAACTCTTGGTCCTCTGCACTGGACACCTCCTCCGTTACTGCACTATCCGCCGAGCACGAACACTCGATCACTGCTTAGCCTCTAGCTACCTGTCTTTTAGTGGTCTAGACAACCGCCATACATAATCATCGAGCTAGGGTCACACTGTGCAGCATGCAGCGCGGAAATGACGTAATCATAATCAACAAACATGATTATTGACCAAAATTCGAGTATGTTTCAAAAGAGTCCAAAAACACAAGAACTGCGTCAAAAACAGTTTCATACTGTCCCTGCAGAGACAAGGATTGGGAGATAGGGCAGTGAGCAGTGACAGAGACAGATTATAGGGCAGCGTACCACAGTGCGTACAGCTCCAGGTTTCTGTACACGGAGAGCCTTGACCACCTGGAACACATCCACCACTCCCTCTGTCTTACACCTCTCAATGGTGGTGGCTATGGCACAGAACATCCCCGACCTGCTCACTGTATCACTGCACACAGGAGAGAGACACATGTAACCAAAGTGTATAGCTCTACTATAGAAGTGAACCTGCAATGTATCAAAATAGGTTTGTTGCCCAGTTCGGATCTGAACTTTAACGACGTCATCGATGACATCAGTGATGGTCTTGACACTGGAGCAGCTACCGTCTGGGGCCCAGTTCAATATGTGGAACTGATTCACCTGCTGTACTTCATTGGTCTATATAGAGGATCATAGAGGATCTTAGTGGGCATAGCTGATTCGAATCGACCAATCAGATTTGTTAGTACGAGGTTCCTGATTTCTCATATGAACCTCGTGAGCTAACAAAAGTAACATGAAAACATGATATGAAACCTTGTTTTTTCTGTTGATTTTCAACAAGTTCAACAGCATTTCATGTAGGAAATGTATCCCGCAAAACATGATCTGTACAAAATGTTGATCAAAATAACTGATATCTTGATTTTCTTTTTCCACAAGACAGTTTTCTGTGTCTGCTTTGAGCCCATCTCCTCCTTGCCATGTATACATAGTAGATAGCCGGCCAGGCAGCTCACGCCCGCCCTACAAACCACCGCGCACATAGGGGGTGGGGCTCCGCGAGCGAGTGCGCGCGACAAAGCTACTAAAGTCTACGGCGAACGCCTTCGGTATATAGCAGCCCGCACAGCGCTTGAATTCTCCACTCTCGCCTCTCTCTGATTGTGATGGTCGCGCAGGTCTCCTGTCGCGTTTTCTTCGGATGAGTGGCGGAGGACAGTCCGCAGCGGGAGTAGCTAGAGCGGCGGAGCAGCGTAATCCTAGCGTTCGGCGTTCAATAGTCCGCACGAGATGACGGTCTTGCGCTCTCGTCTCTCTCTCGCATCTTTCAAATTCCCTGCTGCTTGGAAACGCGGCTGTGCGCGTATACGGAGCTGATTTGCTCTGCACTAAACATGTTATGTACTCCGTATACTCGGGACATACCAGATTTCAATGAACCGAGGGCCTCCGCGTTTGTAGTGTCCGAGCGCAGCGAGGGCACTACGCGAAGGCTGAGGTTCATTGAAATTCTGGTATGTCCCTCGCACGTAGTACCATTAAAGCATAATCACTAAGTACGGTAGTACTTAGTAATATAGGATGACACAGGTTGTCCTGCATTATGCCCATACATTGGGATTTCATGTTTCACTTTCTATTTCAATCAGATCCAACTTTTGACATATCAGATTAATTTGTATCGTCACAAAGAGCATGTCATCCAGGAAATAGCTTAAATCGCATAATCGGTACTTGATTTATAAAAAAAGTCACGTTTCAATTTTCTTCTTCTTGTTGTTGTTGTTGTTGTTGTTGTTCAGTTTAGACCAAGCGTATCTCAAAAACCGGGTAAGATATGGGGATAAAACTTTGCACAAAGATTGGAATCCATGACAGTCGTGCAAGAGCATTTTTATTTCTTCGTAAACAA